TATATATATATATATATATAATCAATCTTAAAAACAATGCATATTTGCAGAATTCAAACTTTTTTCCACTTCATCGCTCGTCATACACGCAAAATTCAAACATATGCAACAAAAAGGGATTCATAAAGCAATGTTTATGCAGAATGTAGATGCTTACTCGAGTACGCTCTCCTTCAGTCGAATAACGACGCAGGATGTCCCTCATGTATTTATACTTTGTGTCTCGAGAAACATTCAAGAGGTTTGGCGGCAAGTATCGCTCCAGAGAACTGAAAAGCAGGGGAGTGAACTCCAAACCTAGATCGTCATAGTTTTCCGCCTTGTGGTCTTGATTAGGGTTCAATCGGAGACGGTAGCTGGCGTTAGACGGCGCTGCTCCAGTTCCGTTGCCATTCCCGTTGGTCTCGGCCACAAGTGCCGTCGACATAGGGGGCAACGATGTGTCCTTTCCCCTTTCAACCGCCTTATCAAGAGACATGGTGAGTTTTGATTTTGTGCAGATAGAAGGGAATTTTTAGGGTTTGAAAAGTAGGAACTTTCTTGGTGCATATTAGGGTTTGATGGTGGCCAAATTATAATGTGTTTAATGTTTTAAAACCCGAACCATTTAATCGAATCCGGATTCAATTTGATGAACCGATACACGGTGGAACCACGTGTGATCCGTTGATTGGGCATGATCCGGTGGTGATGAAACTCGAGTGCGGTTATTGGTTATTAATGATTGTTCAATCTACACGTTACTAACATGTGATTGTGTTATTATTGAACCCTAACATTATTAATTTCTCGTTCGTATGATCATGGTCATAGTAAGTCTGTGTATTGTTATTAGGAAAAATGACTCAGGAGGGTAACCAAGTGTTGATTTTGTTTACATTTGATCTTTTTTTTTTGTACGTAATATATCATCTAACTTACTGTTTGTGTTCACCATAACCCTTTTAACCGACAATCATCGGTTATTGAAGGTTTCCGGTGTCTTTGACCTCTCCGACGACTCTCATGTCATCTTCTCCAGTGAGACTCCGGTGAAACATGAATATTCCGGCGAGTTCTTGGTAAATCAGATGTTTATTGAGGAGCATATCCTTAAACTTCTATTTGTTCCATCAAAATATTGTTTGACCAGAACCCAATGCTATTTTCCTATAATACCATCATAAAATCAGTAACAAAACACCATCCAAGAACACAATGAAGCTTCAATTTTTGAATATTACGGCAAACTCTATGAAATCTGGAACAAATGAAGCTTTGATTTGTGATTTTGAATTTTGTAGGCGAATTAGGGTTTTGATTTTTAAGAACTTACAAGATAAATGAAGCTTTGATTTGGGATTTTCGATTTCGATATTGGATTTTGAAGCTCGATTCTGTATATGGAATGTGTTCTTCGTGTGTGTTCTTCAAATCTGGAAACAACTTCGTTAAGCTCGATTTTGCCATCCTGTACAAACGATTTCTGGAAACAATATGTGGAAAATGTTCTTCAAATCTGGAAAGTTCTTCAAATCTGATGAATGATTTCTGGAACCCTTCATCTTCGTTCGAGTTTAAACCCATGAATCTGGAATCATTCGAGTTTAAACCCATGAATCTGGAACTCTTCAAACCCACGAATTTCGAACCTTTCAAACTCGTTGGTTTCAGATGTGTGTTCCAGAAAACTGCCATAGATGAACTCGAAATCTACCATTGATGATCGGAATTGTAACGCATGGATCTTGAGGTACTCTATTCATAATTAAATTATCATTTGGAGGATTGCCACGACGTGGTGGAGGCACCACCATGACGTGGCGAGGCGAGAAGGGTTCGCGTGTTTTATTTAAGACACCACGGCGTGGCAGTATTGCCCACGGCGTGGTGGACGGCTGACGTGAAAACCTTATTTTTCCCGGTTTGCTCCCTATTTAAAGGAATGAGGAGGCTAGGGTTTGCTCATCCTCAGCCTCCATCGGCCCCCTCAAGCCCTAAAGAAATCCCTAATCACTTTCCTCCATTATTGAGCTAGTTTTGGTGTTCCTTGAAGCTAAAGAAGGAAGAAGGAGGAAGAAGGAAGCAAAGATCAAGCAAGCAAGTCTCCATTCTTCACCTTAGCACTCTTTTGGACCTTTGTAAGTGTCCAAGACTCGATTTTTATCATGCTAGGTTGCTAGATCTTGAGTTTAGTCCCATAAACTTCTTGTTTTTGCTTGTTGGAATGGTGAGATCTCTTAAAGTTTGCAACTTTATGAATCTTTGGGGCATTTGGTGTAATTTGTGCCTTGGATCTGGAGTTTGGTTGGGTTTTCAATCCATGCATGTGATTTAGGTCAAAACCCCTCATTTTAACCTAATATGGGTTCAAGACATGCATTGGACATGCATGCATACAAAGCACCAACTTTTAGGTTAGTTTTGGTTCAAGAATCACTTCTGGAAAGGATGGACTTCAGACCTTATGGAATAAGTGCTTATTGGTTAAGTTTTGCATTGTTAAGCCTTTTAGGACTTAGAGATTTAGGTTTTGGACTTTTTGGGTGGTCCTAGTGGATAAAGTTTTGGAGCCCTTGGAATCGAAGAAAACAACTTAATGCATTAAGCTGTTGGAACCTCGGCTACCACGACGTTGTCCTAGGTCACCACGGCATGGTGGCTGGGATTTTCCCGACTGTTTGGTTGTATGCGGGCCACGACATGGCCAAGGAAGACCACATCGTGGCGGTCGGCTGGGTTTTGACTTTTGGATTTTTGTTCAGCTGTTAATAGGTAGATTAAGGTCTTGCCTTTGTGCGAATTTCTAGGTGACGTTTAGCACCTGTTGTGGGATTTTGAGAGTATGTTGACTTTTGAGCTACTTTACGAGGTGAGTCTCCTCACAGTACTTGCGGGTTGAAGGCACTAACGTCGGTCGATTGGATTATGTTATAGTATGCTACCTGTCTTTATGACTATTGTATGTATTGTATATGTTTGTATGTATATCGGGCGGGGCTCGATGCTAGGTGATGATGAGTGTGTTGGGTGGGGCCCATTGCATGTTACTGATAAATCTGTTCAAGGCGAGGCCCGATGGTTGTTAGGCAAGGCCCATTGTATGTATGGTATGTGGTATTTTGGGGAACTCATTAAGCTTTGTGTTTGCGGTTTATGTTTATGGTTTCAGGTACTTCCGGTTTGAAAAGGAAGGGCCCGACGTGACTGCACAACATCCCCCAAAGTTTTCCGCATTGGAAAATTATGATCTTTAGTTTGATGTTTAAATAATATATTCACTTTGATCGGTTTTGGAACAACTCGTTTGTATGATTTATTGTTTTAAAAATAAAAATTTTACTCTAAATTTGTCACACCCCAAAACCGGAACGGCGGAAACGTTCGGGGGTGGAGGACGTCATGTTCAGTATCACAA